GGTCACCTCTGGGGCACTGGAGTGGCTTTAGCTTCTTAGTGCTGTGCTTTAACCCACTGTGCCCTTTTCATCCATTTTTTTAAAAGACTTATTTATTTATGCATACAGAACTGGAGTACAGGCCAGAGGTGCAAGGGGTGAGAAGATTCAGCAGAGACAGTGAGGAGCAGAACAGACAGATTCACTGGCACACAGTGCTGGAGAGAGCAGCGGGCGGGTCAGGCGATGTCCGCTGTGCCCTGTGGGCCAGCTCCCTGGCGGGGGATAGCTTCCTAGTGCTACACCTTAACCCCTAGCACCACCAGGGAGGCCCTAGAGCCTTTGATTTTTAAAAGGCAGCATCCATTTGTGTGTAACGGACTGAGAGTTGGGGAATGAATGATGCAAGGGGGAAGGTCAGGGCCAAGGGTGTGAAAAGATCTTAAGCAGCTTGGAAGTGCTTGTCTCCCTCAGTTCCCTGTGGGGCCTCTACACCAGGGTTCTCACACTTGAGGAAAGTTCAGGTTCAGCTGGAGAACTGCTGAGTTTTTAATTCCGGGGGAGGGGGGAGGGGGCCTGGAATGGGACCTAGAAATTTGCAGTTCTAGTAAGTTCCCGGTGGTACTGGTCCAAGAAGCACACTTTGCGAGCCAGCGCTGTAATCATTACCAGTCCTGGCCCTGTGCGCCCCCTTGGGGGTTTGGCGTTGCACTACAATGGAAGGTGCGCCTTGAAAAGCACTTAGAGGGGACCCGAGAAAGAAGGGACAAGGACGGGAGCAGACAGTAGAGGAGCCCCAGAGCTGCCCTGTTGGACTTCAAGGTAGACTGAGTACGAGGTGAGCAGGAACCAGGACCAGAGTGGGGATGGTGGCACAAGGCCAGAATGAGGAGGGAGACGAGGAAGGGCACTGCCCATGGGCACTGAGCCCTGGGAACACACTGTTCACCTTTGCAACCCGATCCTGGTCTCAAGCCAGACCAGCCTCTCCTGGTCTTGGGAAAGAAAGCAGCCCTGTCAAAGAAATGAATGTTAGCATATGGGATCAGAGCTGGGAGCGCCCTTGGCAGCTGCCTGGCTCAGCCCTGTGTGACAAACAGAGGGAACCAGAAAGTAGAAAGTTCACTTTGAGGAGGGATCTGCAAGTTTATATGAAGAAAGAAAGGTCCTCTGCTGATTGGCTCACCCCTAGGAAGTTGGGTGCTGGGCATGACACTGGGGGCTATGCCCCAAACCTTGCTCCCCCCACCCCTTCCATCGATTCATTGACCATATACTTTCTGAGCACCGGTGTTCACTAAGCATTCTGCCATATACATATGAAGTGGTGATAAGGCCAAGGCCCTGGTTTTTTGTTTTTTTGTTTTTGTTTTAAATGGACACTCTGAGGATTGAATAAGCAATGGTCAGATAAATAAGCACAATAAAGTTAGAGTGTGATAAGAACTAGAAAGAGACATGAAATGACTGGAGTGGAGTTGGGGATGAGGGAGGGGTGAGCGCCAGGCAAAGGGAACAGCTTGTGCAAAGACCCTGGGGTAGCCACATGTTTGCTGTGTTGGAGGGGTGTCATAGAGGCCACGTTTCTGGAGTGCAATGAAGGAGAGAGGAATAGGAAAGGAAATCACCGTGGTGGCAAAAGGGTAGGTCATAAAGCAAGCCATAGTCGTGGGGAGGATTTCGGCTTTTCTCCTGTATGTGGTGAAAACCCTGGGAGGGTTTAGAGCAGAGGACAAATGTAATTTGACTTAAGTTTGACAGGATCCCTTTGGCTGGCAGTGGAGAAAGGGCTGTGTAGACCATGTAGGGGACAAGAGAGTCCAGGGAGAAAACTTCTGGAAAAGTCCAGGTGAGAAGTAACAGTGGCCTGGTGGCTAGTGAAGCCTCTCCTGTTTGCTCCATGTCCTTCCCTGAACACACATGGAAAGGACAGGCACTTCTTCCAGACCCTACCTGTAACCCCAGCTCACCGTCTCCCCACAGCTAGAAAGATACATCCAGATGCACTTGAAGTCGGAGCTGACGCAGGCGCAGCAGCACATGGTCCAGAACCAGACGGCCACCATGCTGGAGCTGGGCACCAGCCTCCTGAACCAGACCACAGCCCAGACCCGAAAGCTGACTGACGTGGAGGCTCAGGTACTGAGGGGTGAGCGGGTGGCCCTGGAGGCGGAGCTCTGGGCAGGGTGTCCAGGAAGGCAGCTTAAGCCCGGCTCGCCCTGACCTCTGTCCCCAGGTGGGTTTAGGGCCTCCTCTGAGCCTGGCACCCTGGGGCCCCCACCATGATGCTGTTAGGAAACTGTCCCACCAGCCGTGAGCCCCCAGAAGGAAGACACTAGAGTTGGCTCTTCTGCCTCTGACTCCAGTGCCCGGGGCTATGCTGGGCCCAGGGCTGAGGGGCAGCACATTTGCCCTGCCCCAGGAGGCTCGCCTTGCCCTGGAGAAAATGGGTAATACAATATTCCCCCTGAGAGAAGCGGCGCTGGGGGCAGCAGCGAGGCGGGGAACAAGTGAGTAGGGAGCGGATGAAGAGATGAATGACATGAGGGCCTGGGCTTTGTCGAACCCGTTATGTGCGAGGTACTGTTGGACGTTTCCAGCAGCAAGTGAAATAGGCATAGGCACAGAACGCCCAGGAAACAACTAGTATGAGTGACACGTGTGTCACCTGGTGACACCTTGTGCTGGAGAAACAGCATGGCACTGTCCTGGACAGTAAGGAGCACGTGCTGGGAGTGGCAGGGGGGTGAGCTGCACGTTTCGACAGTGAGGCCAGAGAGGCACACTGAGGAGGTAGGCGTGGAGCCTCTCTGCAGGGAGAGTCCCAGCCAGGGACGCAGCAAGTGCAGAGGCCAGAGGTGGGGCTGAGCTGGCAACCTCCGGGGACATGCAGGAACCGGTGCAACTGGGGGCACTAGGGAGAGAGTGGCTGTGGGGTCAGAGGTGACAGGCCACACTGAATCAGCAGGCCTTGCAGGCCAGGGAGAGGCCTGGGGCTTTTTGCACTGCCCGGTGGGCAGCACAGGAAGATTTTGAAAAGAGGGGCGACATTTAAAAGGCTGCTGAGCAGAGACTAGAGTGTTGGGGCAAGGGTGGGAAGAGGGGAAGAGGCACCCACTTGCAAGGTGGGGTTGACAGGACTTGCTGATGGACTGGATATGCAGGTCAAGGGTGACTCTTCCTGGGGCCTGAGCAGCGGGAAGAATAGAAACGCCATGTGCAGTGATAAGAAGAAATTTAAGAAGCAGATCTTAACTCCATTAAGGCCTACGAATGAATGAATGAAAGAAAGAAAAGTGACCACAGCAACTAACTCCTGGGAGGTCAGCAAGTTTCTGGAATGGCAATGCCTCCGGGTAGGCTGCTGGGCAGGGTGTATGCAGGGCACACTTAACCCCCACCTCCTCCTGCTTGCTGGTGCAGGTCCTAAACCAGACCTCAAGGATGGAGATCCAGCTGCTGGAGACCTCACTGTCCACCAACAAGCTGGAGAAGCAGCTGCTCCTGCAGGGCCATGAGCTGCACCAGCTGCAGGGTCGCAACAGGTAAGCGCTGGCACCCTGGCACCGGGCGGGGCAGGGCGGGGTCTGGGGCCCTGGGCCAGGCTGGATTCCAAGTGGGCTTGGGGCCCAGGGTCAGGACCAGGATTGAAATGTGGACTAGTGCCTAGCCAGGGGCTGCAGGGCCTGGGTTAGGCCTGAGGTGAGGCACCATTTGGGGGGTGTGGACTAGAGCTAAGGCTGGGACTAGGTCAGGCCAGTCACCCAAAAGTGATTTCAGGACATAGTAAGTCATGCATGTGCTGAATAAGCGAGCTGGTTGCGTCTTGAGGGACAGAAAGGTGCTCATTGTGTTAGGCCACGATTATGTTAGCCACCAGTTTCTATTACTGTCCCAACTCTTCTGCAGTCTCTTCAGCCAGAGACACTCCAGAAACCTTGTACAGAAACGCTTATCTGAAGAAAACTACTGGCTGGCAACTAGGGCCTCACCCTGGCAGCCAGGAGAGAAGGTGAACACCAGGGCCAGGCTGCAGGCCGAGTCATCAGAGCCTGGCTACTGTGAAATGGGTGGGGCAGGACAAGCATTTTCCTTGTGCTCAGAACACCTGGCTCTTTCTTCCTTCTTTCCCTCCCTCCCTTCCATCTCCTTCCTTCCTTTAGGTATTTTAGAACTGTTTGGAGCTTTATTGAGCAAGAGTACTTACCATACAATTCACCCTGAACATTTTAATTGATCTACTTATTTATAAATAAATAAATCTGATGTCACCCACCAATTTCCCTTCCCAGAAGCAACTACAGTTCCCAGTTTCTGGTCTGCCCTAGCAGAGTCTCTGCATTTATAAGCAAACATGCATGCAGGGAACACCCTTCAAATTACAAAGGAAAAGAACAGTCATGGGAGTAGATAAGGTAAAAAAAAAAAAAAAAAAAAAAACCCGGATGTCTGAGGCTGATTTCATTTTGGTTTCCAGCTGAGCAGAGAAAAATACTGCCCAGGTCAGGGAGCTGGAGGAGGCAAGGCCCACGCCTGACACAGCCACTCGCGACCTGCATACAGTACGGTGCTATTTTGCACCTGCTGGGTCCAGATAGGGCCCCACGAGAGGCCAGCTCCATCCCACCTGTGCACAGTGAATGACAGTTTGCCCACTCCTCCTTCTGCTCTTCCACCCCACGGCGCAGGACAGCAAGGGCTGCAGCAGTGCCAATCACTGTACATTGGCACCAGGTGCCTAGAAATCGGTGACGATGGAGAATGTCTGACTATGTTCTCGGTCCATAGACACAGCAAGTTTCTAGAATCCAGGTGCACCCAAATTCTCTCCTCCTGAGCCATATTCAGGGGCCCAGGGGAGATTCCTTCTGCCCTAGCCGGCCTCCTTTCCTTAGTCTGGAGATGGGCCGGCACAGCCTCACATACGGGAAAGTGTCTCCCTGCTACCCCACCCCTGGGCCGCCCCGCACCTCTGACAGAGGTGGCTGCTGCTCCGAGCTTCCTGTGTGTTCCAACGTCCATTCAAGCAACGCTTATTGTTTGAGGACTTCCATGGATTGGCCGCAAGAGTGAAAACTGGAGTTAAAGAAATGAGCAGACAGAAGTCCATGTCCTTGGGGAGCTGACATCCTATAACTTACACTCCAGGGCTTCTCAGGGATGTGCAAACAAACATGAATGTCCAACCCCGTTTGCTTCCTTAAAATGCAAGTGTGGCAGTTCAGGTCTTCTACACCTCGGTTGTATTTTTTTGGTTTTCAGTTACCCTGGAAAAGGTTCTAAAACTGCATGACTCATTGACTCTTCTTTTCTCCAACTATATAAAGTCCCACTGAGTGATTGTCCCTGCATCTGCTTCCCCAGCCCCAGCGAGCAAGCAGTGAGGTGGTTTCCAGCCTTTTACACTCCAGCCCGGTAACAGCCCACAGCCTCACGGCACACGTGGGCGAGCACATCCGTAGGCTACAATGGCCAGATCAGAAGAGCCGAGTCAGAAGCTTCTTTCCTTCTTGTTTAAACTCTTCTCTTGTTTAAACCCACCACCAAAATACCTCCTGTGTGTTATAGTCAGACAACAGCCATCTATAGGGGATGACAAAGAACTCCATCCCGCCTCCATCTTCCTCTCCATCTCCATCCACCAAGTCCTGCCTCTGCAGCAACAGCAGGGGGTGGGTTTTCTTTCCCTTCCCTGCAAGCGCAGACCGCTGTGTCCCTGACCTGTCTTTCCACACTTTGCTGTGAGCTCGCCGGCATCCTTCTACATGTACGTTAATGCCTTTCTTTTCTCTTTTTTATCTTCTCGCCAGTGGGGTTAGACCAGAGGCCTGCTGTGCCAGCGTGTTCCACCCCGAGGCCTGGGCACCTTAGCCGTTCTGTGCAAAGCACATGCCTTCTTCCTCTAGGGCTCCAGGGACATCACCACAAACAGACTCAGCCAGTCTTGGGGGAGCACTTAGGCTGGCCCCACCCCCATCAGCGTCCTGTTGACATTCTTGCCCATGCTCCCTGGAGGTTGTCTCCCCAGTGTGGACTGCTCAGGCAAGGGCGGCGGGTTTGGGATTTGATAGTGGCGCCTGGTTGCTGGCGTGCCCCTCCCACCCCCATCTTCCTCCTCTACTGGCCCCCAACCCTTGCCCAAGGCGAGTCTTTCTCCCTCCTTCTAGTTCCCTCGGTGGGCACAGAGCTTCAGGCTGCAACCCTGGGCAGGACTCTACCTCTCTGAGCCTCAGTGGGGTTCTGTACCGCGACCACCCCCGGCCCCGTAAGAAAGCGCACGAGAGTGAATGCATGGTGGAGACAGGGGCTCACCCGTGCGTCCTCACCTCCATGCGTCCCCACCCCTCAGCGCGCTGGAGACACGGGTGCTCGCCCTGGAGACGCAGCAGCAGGCGGAGCTGACCAGCCTCCGCGGCGAGAAGGAGCAGCTGCGGCGCCTCCTGGGCCGCCAGAACGGCGCCCTCGCCGGCCTCGAGCGCAGCCTGCGCGCGGCCAGCAGCAACTCCAGTCTCCTGCAGCGCCAGCAGCGCGAGCTGCTGGAATCGGTGCAGCGCCTGGTGCGCGTCGTGGCCCAGGGCCCTGGTGAGCGAGCAGGTGCGCGGGGTGTGGGAGGAGGGCAAGCAGGGGAGGGACACCCCACTTTCCTGCCTAGTGGATGCTGGGGCCTGCAAGCCACGTGGGAAATAGGAATAAGGCAAACAACAGAACAATGGTGTCCACAACAAAAGTTCTGAGGAACCAATCCAGTCTTTTCACCCCCCCCCCACTCCGTGGATGACCTTGGCAGGACCTTGGCAGTTTTCCCATCTATTTAGTGGAGACCTTGGCACTCCACTAGTGAATGACCTTTAGTGAATGGCCTTGGCATGACCTTGCCTTTCATTGGACCTCAGTTTCCCCATCTATTTAGTGGAGGTGATGATGGTGGTAATAACAAAGACACGATCAACCCAAACGAACAAAGCTGGGTTCCAGGATCTACCCTCCATTCCCACTTGCTTAGGCTTGTCCACCCCACCCTGGACTCAGTTTCCCTATCTATGCTACAGAAAGGTTGGGCTCAGTGAGGCCCGAGGAGCCTGCTTCTAAGCCCAAGGGAACCCAACGGATGTGAAGAGGCATCTCTGGCCCTGGCTCCTGAGAAGGGAGAACAATGGCTGGGCCAGCTCACCTGCCCTCGCTGACTCCCGGTTGGGCCCCTGGTGGGGCCAAGGCATCCCGGGTTTCAGCTGTAATCACTCAGCCAACAAACACACCCACTGTGCGCCAGCCCCAGCGGGGCCCAGGGAAACAGCAGCGAGCAGTATCCTCACGGCCCAACTCTTGCAAAAATGCTCAACCCCCTGTCTGGGGGTCTCTGAGGGAAGGAGAAGGAAGAGCAGCTGCATCGATGCTTCTGTGTCAAATGTTCAGCTTGCAGCGTTCCTGGAAGTTCCCAACCATGAAAGGCCAAAAGACTGCTAGGGAGACGGGACTTTAACCTGTGGGGTGGAGGCCCTGGGAGGATTTTGAAGGTGGTGAGCCAAGGTCCTAGCAAGCCTCAGGGGAACCATGAAGGGGAGGACGGTCTGAGGAGAGAGCGAGCGTGCCCACTGCCGCTGGCTCTCCCTGCGGGAGGCGGGGAGGCCTTTGGGGCACAGGATCAAGCAGTGGTGAGGAGTTCCAGGCACCGTGGCTGGCAGTGACTTGGAGCAGAGAACGGCTCCAAGTAAGTGGGGCCGCCCTCCTGTCGGGGGCTTGAGGCCCCGAGGAAGCCACTGGGGGGGGAGAGGTGGAGACCTTCCGACCTTCCAAGCCTCGAGATGAGGAGTGGCCCGACCCGTCGCCGGCTAGTGCAGAGAGCTGGCAGCGAGGCTGCCTAAATGAACCCCACGTGTGGGTGTCTTGTAGCTCAGCCCACAGAACGGGGTCCGGGCTCCACGGCTCTCCCCACAGGCTCACCAGCAGCCCAGTCTCCAGCTGTGGCCAAAATGTCTGCTCCTCTGTCTGGGTGGGAGGTCCCTCCCCTGGGCACCCTTTGCCCAAGCACCAGGTCCTCCTGCCCCAGTCCCGGGGAAGGCCCTACAGGGTCCGCCACCATCTTGATGGAAATACTGGGAGATCAGTCACCAGGTATAGAACAGAGGTGTGCACAGAGAAGGCACAGGAACCAGACACCCTTACAACTTAGCAGGCACCCCACACCCTCTCTGTGTGGGCAGGTGGAGGCCGGCAAAGCAGGGAGAACTCGGCACTCACCAGGCTGGGAGGTGACCGGGAGGCCCCAGCAGCAGCAGTCATCCTAAGGGCTGCGGCCTTCTGCTGTGGGCTGGTGGTGGAGACCCTGGGAGGGGCGTAAGGAGGCGCTGGCTCTGCAGTGGCTGCACCAGGCTCCTTCCCCGGGACCTGCCCAAGTCATTTCATGACTTAGAGCCTCACTTTTTCTCACCTATAAAATGGGAATAACAGGGCAGGGGTGCCCATCTCAGAGAGCTCTTGCACAGATCTCCACCCACACAAAGGGACTGAACTCAGTGCTTAGGGCTCAAGGGACGGAAGCTGGTGTAGTTTCGGGGGGGCAGGAAGGCCGGCAGACTGGGGCCAAACTGTGAGTCTGTCCCAACTCTAACCTCCCGGAAAATGTTTCTCCCGGCCTCAAATCGCCCCTCGTAGAACCTGGCTAAGAAGCACCACAGCCGTAGCAGTTATTTCACTGTGCTGTTTATTCTAGTTGTCATCGCCACCATTGGCCGAAGAGTCTTGAGAAGGGTGACTGGCACCTCAGGCCAGCTCCCAGCTCTGCCCTCCCCCACAGGGTAAGCGGGGCTGTTTCTGCTCCCTCCAGGCCAGCGCCTCTTGCCCCACCGTGGGCCTGGCTGGACGGCAGCGAAGGCTCACGGAAGGGGCTGTGGAGATTCTGCCCCTGGAGTCTCTGCAGCCCCTGCCGTCTGTGCACAGGCGCCGATGGATCTGGGCCTCTGTCACTCCACGTGTGATCAAGGAACAAGGGTCTCCTTCCAACAGATGTCCACACCCAGGACCCTGCGTCCAGATTGAAGGGTGGGACCAAAGCAGGAAGTCCCGCCCTCCCGAAATCGCAGCCTGGTCACTCAATCCCAGCGGGGGGGGGGGACCCCCATCCTGCCAGCCCTGCCCCCTTCCAGGTCATCAACAAGCAAGAGCTTTCCAGCCTGGTCTCTGCCCCCATGGTAGGGGTCATGAGCACAGTCCTTTCCCCTCACTGCACCCTGCTTCTTGCACACCCCAGACTGTCCTTATGCTGGACCCTTTGTATATGCTGTGCTCTCTGCCAGGACACAGCTGAGTGACTTCTGACCCTATGCCATGCTCCAGATCACTGCCTCCTCCTCTAGGAAAACTTCCCAGGTCCGATTCGGCTCCCTGTCCCCAGCACCTCCACTCAGGGCCTGGCCCCTTCCCGCTCTTAGCTCACCTCCGATTGCTTTTTTGTCTTGTCCCATTGCAGCCTCCGTGAGGACAGCTGACCGGGTGTTCCAGGACTGCGCAGAAATCCAGCGCATGGGGGCCAATGCCAGTGGTGTCTACATCATCCATGTGGCCAATATGACCGAACCCAGGAAGGTTAGCATTTTCCTGGGGGGAGCCAGGGACCTCTCAGACAGACCCTCCCCCATCTGGAACCCCCACCCAGTCCGGATCAGATGGTCGGGTTAAAGCAGAAGGTCATAAGTGAATTCTTCAGCATCTTCTCCAGAAATGCTCTGAGGTGGAACAAGGAGATAGTTTTGTGTTGGTTAAGGTAATGCTAGCCGACATAACAGATAATCCCTGAGCTTCCAGGGACTTAATGCACCAAGGGGCTAGTATGCACCTAGTCCAGTGGAAGGCAGCTGTGCTCTACAGGGAAAATTTAGAGACCAGGGCTGGAGGGATCCCACCACCTTCAAAGAAGGCTCCCAAGGTTGCCCTGAGCTTTGGTGGGGAGGGAGTCAAGGAAAAGTATGGGCATCAAAGGGAGCTTTGGGCAGTCAGGCCCTGAAGTGGCAGAGTATGGGGAACAACCAGCCAACCTCCCACTTCGTAATTCCTTTTCCAATTTCCTTACACCCGTCTGGCTATATCAAGGAGAATGTTTGACTCCAGGTCAGTTAACACTCACACACTCCTGCCTCCCTTTCTAACAAGGACAGATCAGGTCCTCGATTTTTATCCAGAATTTTAATACTATTTTGTTCTCGTTCTATTTATTTTTGCAATTTTTTTTAAAGATTTATTTATTTATGCATACAGAACTGGGGTACAGGCCAGAGGCTCAGGGGTGGTGAGAGGCTTCACCAGAGACAGAGTGGGGAGCAGAACAGGCCGAATGTTGAAGTACACTGCTGAGGGGAGCAGCGGGCGGGTCAGGAGAGGTCTGCCACGCCATGTGGTCACCTCCGGTGCAGGCGGGAATCGAACTCATGTAGAAGCGGCTTTAGATTCTCAGTACTGTGCTTTAACCCGCTGCGCCACCAGGGAGGGCCTATTTTTGCAATTTTATAAAAACTACTGATGAGGTTTCCTTTTAAAATACTATTTATTGAAGTGTTTCAAAAGACATCATTTTTAAGTGACTATTCTATATGAAATTAAGTAAATGCAGCATTAAAGGAATTCAGGAAGCTGTGAGTGGCTGACATTCAAAACACTGACAGAGGGGGAGAACTGCCTTTGGGGGCCACAGAGCCTCACTCGGACCTCAACTTTCCTGTTAACTGACTTGGCTTGGCCAAGTCCACTCTTCTCTCTGGCTTCAGTTTCCCTTCCTGCCTGCTCTGCCATGCCCACAGCTCTGTCTCTGAGCACACCGTGACCATCTCAGAGCCTCTATCTCTGCAGCCAAAGCCCCTGGCCTCTCCCTGGAAGACATGTTCTCTTCCAAAGTTTTGTTCCAGTGCACCCTCCTCTGAGGGTACTTCCAGAGTGACGCAGTGACTCCTCTGGGGCTCTCCTGGTAACTGCCCAAGCGTTCATAATCATAGCCCGCCTGCCTCGTCACACCCTCCTCAGACCATGTTTTGCTAAGGGTCAATTCATCTCTGATGTGCCTCTGATTCATTTTGTACAAGGCCAGAGACCAAGCTTGAACTTACTGAACACTGAACATTGAGCTGCACTGGCAGGGAAAATAACATGACAACAAAAATCACCCTGAAGTGATGGTAAGCTCCTTGAGAGGAAGAGCCTGTTTTATCTTCTCCATAGTGGCATCCCAGAGTCTCCAGCAGAGCCTGGCACACAGCAGGTGTTCGGGAGACGGTTGTCTACTGCATGTAATATCATCTCCTGAGTCTCCGTGTGGGCCTAGCACTTTAAACCCATGGGTGTTTGATCCTACAACAACCTTCCCATTACAGTGAATGAAGAGCCTCATTTATTGTATTCTGAGTATGTACCGGGCCTGTTCTTTAGATGACTCCTCTCATTTAATACTCACAACTCTTGTTTTCAGGAGAAAAACTTAAGCACCAAGAGGTTAAGGTATGAATATCCCATTTTTACAAATGGGGACAGGCCTCACTTGCCCCCTACTTGAGAAAATGGTGGTGACAGGTGGGAATTTGAACATGGATCTTTCTGGTCTCTGACGACCAGGGTCACCTCACTCACAAACACACTTGGGCCGGCCCAGATCTGGCTTCCAAGTCTTCCAGCTCTCCCCTCCCTCTACCTCCTCCAGGTTTTCTGCGACATGGAAGCCAGTGGAGGTGGGTGGACCCTCATTCAGCGCCGAGAGAATGGCAGCGTGAATTTCCAGCGGAACTGGAAGGATTACAAGCAGGTAACAGTGCTGCCCTTAGCGGGGCTTTACAGCTCAGAAACCTGGGGCAGGAAATGGAATGTGAACAGGGCACTGGCTTGACCCTAACCCTTCCCAGCCCCAAAATAAAAAAAACCCTAAAACCCAGCACCTTCAGTGGGGTCGCCTTGTGCATTTTCACTTGCAGGGATCCCATCACCTAAAGGTGAACATGGTTTTTGGTTGGGTTTTTTAAATTTCTGATATATATTCTGAAAACTAAAATTTAACTGTACTTTTGTTTGAATTTTTTGAATATATATATATTTATATTTAGAAAAAAATAATATATATTGCTTAAAATGTTTGAAGGGTACCCCAAAAAGGGAATAGAAAAGAGTAATCTCCCCACCCATCCCTGGCTGTATTGCTTAAATAAATTTCCTGATCTTTGCACATAGGTGACCCCATCTGCAAGGGAAATTTGTTAACTGCTAGCTCAAAGGCCATGTGCATTACAAGATGAAAATAGGGCCTGGATTTCTTCCCATTTTTTAAAGTAAAATTTTGAAGAAGGGATTTTTAGGCAAATTGATGTGAAAGCACATAAAGTTTCAAAAGCAATAGAAAAGATACCTGCAAGCAAGTACAATGTTATTCTTTATGTCTGCTTGCTGCTCATTTGATAAATACTTAGGCATAATACCAAATTAAAAGTAAACCCAGTTTTGACCCAATGGGATCTTAAGCAGTCATGTAACGGGCAAAGAGAAACTGGTGCGGACGCAGGAAGAAACAAGTCCGCAGGAGAACGCTGAGCCCCGCCGAGAGCCAGTCAGGCCCTCGCCCTGGAAGGGGGCAGTGGGGCCTGGCGTGCCCTGTCCTTGGTGCTGAATTGCTGTTTCGGCAGAAGGCTTTGGTTTCTTGCAACCCTGGGACAGTGAGGACAACCAAGGCTCTCAGCTTTATATTCCTAGAAGTATTTATATTTCTATAAATACAAATTCTCTGAAATTTGGCAGTGGCTCTCACTTGACTAAGCGGAGTGCACTCTGCCACTCACGCAGCTGACTACGTTTTTCGAGGGTTTTGCTGAAGTTTATGCATGCAGTTAAGCACACAACTCTTAAGACTCAGTGGATTTTTGCATATACATTCCCCCACGTGACCACCATCGGACCTAGATGGACCATAGTCCCAGCACCCAGAGGCCCTCCTTGAGCTCCCTCCCGATCAATTCTCACTACGGTAGTCACTATCCTGACTTCTGTCATCACAGATTAGTTTTAACAGTTCTTGAACTTCATGGAAATAGGATTTCAACTCTTTGTAACAGACATTTACATTCATAAAAGCCTTAGTCTTTTTGTCCTAGGAGGTGGGGTGCTCCCACCCCCAGACCTGCCCACACTGCACTTTATGAATTTGATTATTAGAGTGGTTTGGATAAGCAGTCCCGGAGCCTGATCAGTCCAGCTCCTCAGTAGGGGCACAGCCTCCCTCCTCGGCATGCAGCCCACACCCGCTCTCCCGCCCCATAGGGCTTCGGCGACCCGGCTGGGGAGCACTGGCTGGGCAATGAGGCCGTGCACCAGCTCACCAGCAGGGCAGCCTACTCTCTGCGCGTGGAGCTGCAGGACTGGGAAGGCAATGAGGCCTACGCCCAGTATGAGCACTTCCAGCTGGGCAGCGAGGGGCAATTATACAGGTGGGTTCGGGCCCAGGCTGATGGGCGGGCAGGGGGCCCTGGGCTAGTGGTTACAGAGTCTGCAGCAAGGGTCAGTCCCTGGGCGTCTCCTGTTGCTACCATCTGTCCCCCATTTGAGAATACGTCACAGGATCTGGAGGCGGCTGGTTAGCACTCAGCACGTCCCAGCCACTGGGTGGGGTGGAGGGAATGTTGCTGACGCTGCCATCCTGGGAGGGAGAAGGGGCCTTCCAAGGTCAGTCGCCCAGAGTCAGCCATTTGATAGAAACCCAGGCTGGGGAGGTGACTTTCCCAGCCTACCCATGCTAGGGGGAGGGAGAGCTGAGGCGGAAAGGTGTCTGGGCTGGTAACTGGGGGGCTGGGCTCCTCTGGCTCGGCCCTGGCTCACTTAGTGATCCTGGGCGAGCCAAGGTTCTGGCTTCTCTTTCCCTCTGCATGGTCTCGGCGGAGCATTCACTGAGCACTTACAGTGTCCCAGGTCCCAGGCACGTTCCTCCATTCCCTCTTCCTCACGACACTCCAAGGTGAGCCTTGCTCTACCTACTTTAGTAAAATGGAAACGGAGACACAGAGCTCTAAAACCCTGCCCAAACTTACAAGTTAAGTGGAGCCAGGTTTTAACTCAGATCTCCCTGCTACCAAAATACACGGTGTTTCCACTGTGTCATGTTGCCTCTCTGAGAAATGCAAGGATCTTGGAGATAGTCTGAGTCCTGGCTATCTTCAACCAGGACAGAATTGAAGTCATAGGCTCACCTCAGGGCTTCACATGCCACATGTGACAATCCTGTCACAGGCACAGCCATCCTCCAGGCATGCTGGATTGCCTCCAGTGATGGGGAGGTCTCTTTTAAAAGGAGGCCTCTTAGAAAGGGGTCTCTTCCTTAAAAGGAATCTCTGGAGTCACTCTGTCCCCGGGCACTGTCTGCCTAATTCCACCTCTGGAGGCTTTTCAGTGACGCCCTCCCCTTCTTGAATGTCTGGTTCCTCCAGCTAGTGGTTCTGGCATCTCCTCATGGGACCCATCCCAATCTGATAATAGTCCTCCTTCGAGTGCAAGCTTCAGAGCTGAGTGAAGCATCGCTGGGTGGAGTCCGGCAGGGCTGAGCTGGATGTCCCTCTGCTCCTCAAGCTGACCCATGAGTGGCCACAACACGCCTGCCGAGTCTTATTTAAGCCAATGACCACCAGAGTCAAGGCTCATATCCTGACCCACCCACATCTCCCTGAGTGACCGCAAGCAAGCCCCTACCTTCTCCTCTGTAACATGGGTGCTCCAGGGGTCCCTGCCTCATCCAGTTATGAAGCTCGAATGAGATGCCTCCCTCGGGGCATGCGCACAGCTGACACCTAGTGAACACTCAGTCCAGACAGGTGTCACTTACCAATGGGGACACTCGGAAAAATGTGTCGTTGTTGGGCAAATGTCATAGAGATGTAGGTGGCTACTGCTATTGTAAAAGCCTGCACCTCACAATGGTGATGAAATCAGTAGGCAACAGGAATTTGGGGGCCACCATTACATATGCAGCCGCCGTGCCAAAGCAGTTATGTCATGCATGACTACGCTTGCTGCCCCCCAACTCACACGCGTGGCTGGCCTGCTGGGTGAGTGGGCGCCAGGCCTGCCTCATTCACTGATGTGCCCACCCCAGTGCCGGGCACAAGGTAAACAGGAAGCTGGGGGAGCTTCTCAATTCTTCCCCTACTCATGTGGCAGTTCAGCTTCATCTACCTCGCCCAACTCTTGAGCAACAGTATCTGTGACATTGTTGCAGGAGTAACCCCAGGAGACCAAACCGCTTTGTCCCCTTGCAGGCTGTGACCCCAAACCTCAGCCCTGGCCCCAAGCCTGGCCTTGAACTGACATCACTGAGCCTTTAAGAAGAGCCCTCCATGACCATCAGATTAGGCAGGAGTGGGGAAGGGCTACCCCACCGCAGGGAGCCCCTGGCCAAATGGACCTCTTGGCGAGGGATGGGGGGCTAGGGTCACATGTTTAAGGGCGCAGTTACGGCTTCACGGCTGGCCACGGCTCTCTGGACTCTGCGGGCCATGCCTCTGCCTCATCACAGAGGGACTGAGCCTGTGGTGAGACGTGCAGGAACAGGCCAGGCCACATGCCCAGGCCCCACATGTCCCAGGCCCGGTGAAGCGGTGTGCCCAGGCCATGCAGCTGGTGAGCGGCAGAGCTGAGATTTGAGCCCAGTCGTCTGCCCCTGGGTGTATGGTTGTAATCACTGTGCAGGCGTGAATGTACCCACCAAGTTCTCACCACCTGGCAGAGGAGGCTGTCAAAAAAGCTACTGCCCTCATTATTACCAGTCACATAAAAAGTCCTCCACTACTAGAAATGGCAGGGCCGGGGACACCCAGGGCATAGACCCAAGTGGGCTGGTGTTGCCAGAAAAAGCTTCCTGGAGGAGGTGAGTGGATGGGAGGAGGTGTGATGGGGCTGAGCTTGCAGGACAGTGGGTCGAGTGGCGAAACAGACATAGCTGCCAAGTCAGGCCGCTCCAGGCTGGGTCTGGCAGCCATCGCCCCCCTTCTGAGGCCTTGGGCATGCTTCTTTGGCCCTTGGGGCCTCCACTTCCCACCTGGAAAATGGGAACAAGCAGGTGTTGGGAGGATTAAATGAGTTAATCCAGGTAAAACACGTTGAGCAGTGCCTGGCACCAATTAGATGTTCAAGAACGTCAGCTGTTGTCCTCGTTAGTATCCTCACACTCGTGTTCAGTCCTGTCCAAGACTCGGATCAGTGACATGAGGAATGCCCAGCACACAGTGGGTGTCTGTCCCTGGGAGGCAGCAGGTGGGGAGGGAGGACTCTCCAGGAGTGGGGGTGCCCTCACACCGCAGGCCAGGGCTCTCCCCCCCAGGACCATGGGAGGAGAGACCTAGCCTTGGAAAACGCCTCCCGGACCGCCCCTTCTAATCAGCTCCATGCTGACTCGGGCCTCTCACATCACCACTTCCGATGGCCTCTAGGCTTTCTCTGAGCGGATACAGCGGCTCCGCGGGACGCCAGAGCAGCCTGGTCCTGCAGGGCACCAACTTCAGCACCCGTGACGCGGACAATGACAACTGCCTGTGCAAGTGTGCCCAGATGCTGTCTGGAGGTAGGTGCAGAGCGGCTGAAGCCCGTCTGCCCACAGGCTTCCCCCGCACCCCCATCCCCAGGTCCTTGGGCAACGGGGTGCTGTACAGGTCGGGGTGTCCCCTCCCATAGGCTGGCCTGGCTGGACCCCAGGGCACCTGGGGTTCCTCCAGGGTCACTCTCCCTCCTAAACTGGCACCACCAGTGTCCTGAGCTGTGCCTTCCCCACAAGGCAGGCACCGTGTCCCATCAGTCCCAACCCAGGCCTAAGAGTTCCCCAAGCAGGTCCAGAATCGGGGAGACTTGCGCAGGGGCCAGAAGGGCAGCTGCACACCACTTTGGTGCAAGCAGTGTTGTTTGGGGAGGACAGAGATCAGAAACTGGGAGGTGAGGTGGGTCAGGCCAGAGGGGAGGCATAGAGATGGGCGAGCCCTACCAGGGACAGATGGAGATGGGGACACCAGGACCGGACAGCGGCAGAGACGCAGACCACAGGGGGATGATGGACACAGTACAGGAGAGATGAACACCCAGGAAGACAGGGCACCCAAAGAGACTTAGGGATCCGAGAAATAAGCACAATTTGGGAGACAGCGACGCCAGCCCCAAGGATCATCAGCGACGGGGCAAAGTCAGAGTGGGGGCAAAGTCTCAGCAAGCTGGTGGAGGGAGCTGGGGAGCCAGCGCGGGTGGGGGAGATAGGCGCCCGGAGGCTGGGAGAAGGAGAGGAGCAGAGGGCCTGAGGGGGTGGCCAGCGCCCAGAGCTGCCTCCAGAGGCCCTGGGCTGGCCGGTGGGCCTGGCAGCTACCCCACCTCCAGCCACGCCCAGGGAAGACCACGGTCCTGATTAGTCCTTTGGCTGGGGCTGCCCTACCGTGGCTGGGCCCTACCTCCCAGGTCTCCTCCTCCCCCTCCACCAGGGTGGTGGTTTGACGCCTGCGGCCTCTCAAACCTCAACGGCATCTACTACCCGGCCCAGCACCATGCGCGCAAGCTCAACGGCATCCGCTGGCACTACTTCCAGGGCCCCAGCTACTCACTGCGTGCCACCCGCATGCTGGTGCGGCCCGTGGGCGTCTGAGCAGCGGCTGCGGAGGCCGGGCCTGCAGGGGAGCCGAGACAGCCTGGACCTGCACGCTGGACACGGTGCAGGGCTCCCGGCCAGCCCTCCCAGCCCAGGAGCCCAGGAGAGTTGGCTGCTCCCCTAGTCCCCTCAAGTAGTGACGTAGAGGGTATCTGGGGGTTCCTGCCTCTGCGGGGTTCCTCTTCTGTCCAGTCTCCTGCAGGGAGTGCCTGCCAGCTTGAGGGCTGCAATATCCTGAGTGCGCTGAGAACAGACTTGTCTTGGCTCCTCGGAGGGATTCGTGACCGGCAGTAGAGTAGCTAGCAGGTGGCAAGGTATTTCCAAGCTGGCAACTGTTCAGATACTGACCCAGATTCTGGAACGGGGTGAGAGAGAGGGTTGTCTCCTGCTCCAAGTTTTCTCAACCTTGGTGTTCTTGAACATCCTGTTCAAGTCTGAAGAGGCTGCATCCACCCCACCAAGGGAATGATTATTTCCATTGCATACTGCCCACCCCTGTAGGAGTGCCATGTCTGGACCTCAGACCTGGAAGCTTGCAGGGTTCCAGATACCTGAAAGGATTCCTTCACCCCCAGCAGGCCCCAGGACTCCCCTTGAAAAGTACCTCTGGCCAAGTGAGAGAGGGGAAGAGCAGGTTAAATCCATAAGAGCAGGCACCTGGCTGCGGGACTTGTGCTCAGCTGCCTGGCGGCTGCCCATGAAGGGGCTGCAGCGGTGCAGTCTCCAAATGTACTTATTTGAAAATGGGTCTTGTTGGCCCCAGAGCATCTGTGGGGGCTGTGGATGCCCACGGAAAATGCTGGTGCACATATCTCATGAGGAGGTACCCCCAAGGCCCACCACCCCCCTGCCAGCTGCGCTCACATTTTTTGACTACAAGGGACCCAGTTATAGTCTCGACCTCTACAAACGACTGGAAGGAAACTTAGGTTGAAGCAGACACACATGCCTGAAGAAGGGCCTAGGACTCAGTTTCCCCTCTGTGTGAGTGGCTGTGTCCTCCAAGGTTCCTTTGGTCCTACGAAGCCAAGTCTCTGCCTGGGGCTGCCCTGGGTGACCCCAGCTCACCCAACCTCAAGTTCAGGGGCTTTTGGGGACTGTGTGCTCTGCCTTGGGCAGGACATCCATCCTGGTGTGGGTCCTCTCTGCCTCCTGCCGAGAGGAAACCCAATGGTGCCCTCGGCATCATCTAACAATGGTGCTGCAGCAGGGGGCGCAGTCAGTGGGGCCGCGGAGGCAACTGGCCTGTCTGGCTCCAGAGGGCAGAGGCTTCTCGTGAGCCTCTTGCCGAGGACGGGTCAGTGGTGGACCTCGGCCACTGTCACCCGCCTCAGTCCTGAGACCACCGCAGCCGGGTCATCATCAGCCAGCTCGCAAGCCTGGACCCACCTGCCCTGCCGCACAGATGAGCCCCGTCTTCAGGTCCGGCCCATCTGAGGCCGGAATGGTGGAAATGGACCTCTCCCTCCCACTTGACTTTGCCACAGCCCCTGACCCCCAGCCAAGGCCCTGACAGAAGCGGGGATTACTGCTGTCTCCAGGGAAGCAGAGGTGGTGGCTAATGGTGGCCTCCCAGCAGGGGGCGTCACGTGGGCAGGTCGGGTCTGGAGGGCTCCCAGCACCCTGCACCGCACTGCTCAGGCCTTTCTAGCAGCAACCGTGCACCCTGTGGTGCCGGGGCAGGGTCGGGGTGGGGCAGACACGCTCCATCTCGCACGCGAGGCCTCCGTTGTCCCGTCTGTGAAATGGAGTGATGACACCGCTCCTGGCTGCACGGAAGAGGGAATGCGAGTGTGTAGGTAAACAGCACAGCCCGGCAGCAAGCAGGGGCCTCGCCCAGAGAGGTGAGTGCGTGGGGAAATGCCCCAGGCTGCCACCCTTCCTCCTCCTGGGGAGGGAAGCGTCTTCCGTGGGCATCCACCGCTTTGATTTTGGCACCGCCCTGGTCCTCGCGGGATCTACTGGGGACCCAGGACACAGGAACTAGCTTCTGGAATATCTGCACCTGCGGGTCCCCCATGCAGAATCTCTGTCCTCTTCCTGCCTCAGATCAGCATTCTCCCCATTTCAGTGACAAAGAAATTAGAACTCAGAGAAGTAGGGGCTTCACCCAAGGCAGCGTTGCCAAACGCCACCTCCACTGCGCGTGCATTTATGGGCCTCCCAGGCCCAGAGCTCTCGGTAGCAAGCGTGTGCTGAGGACCGACCTGCCTGGGCCGGGGGGTGGGGCAGAAACAAGACAGACCCCAGAGCCCTGTGCTCAAAGAGTCCAGCAGGCCACAGGGAGAGGCTGGCCAAAGCAAGTTTTTAAAACAAATGTTGAGAAACTGAATTGGCATGTCAGTATATTACACAAGCGAAAACTTTGTATTACAGGAAGTAGAGATAAAGATAACGGAGGGCCGGAGCTGGGCACATAGAAAGCTCTCTGTGATGTGAGCTCCCACGATCTCGCTACTGGCGTCACAAAGAACATCCCCCAGAATGTCTGTGCAAGGCCCCGCAACAACCTGTGGAATGGGGACTGTTGTCCTCTCCTGTCCACTTCCTAAAACAGAAGTGAAGCCACTTGGCAGAAGGGACTGGGGCGGGGGTATGAAGGTGCATTTGGAGTTGAATCACCTGCTCCAGCCCATGTGTACCTGGATCTTCTATTTCCTGTCACCAAGGTTAAAGGGAAATAAATACATAGGTTGGCCCCGAGTTCCAGCTGGCCAGTGCTCGAGTCAGCCATGGAGATAAAGGCCCCCTGTCCCCGCAGGACCCTCCGGGGCAGGGCCGGAGCCTTCCTTCCTGTGTCTGACTTCCTGTCTCCCCTGCCCCGTGCAGAAGACTCAGTCACAGACCTGCCACCTCTGTTGTTTTGGAGAAGGACTGAGTTTCTGCCTAGTCAACTTCCTTGAGCTCCCCGCTGTGCCCCGGGGAGGGGAGGAGCTGGAACAGGCCACACTTTTTGGTTCCAGTCTGGGGAGAGAAGGGAAGGTTATGGGAGCTCAGAAGTCCCCTGCTGGCTAAGACCCCTTCCCTCACCTTCGCCTGCCGTGCAAAGGGGCCACTAACTGGGTTGACACTGCCCGAGCCCCCACGTCAGAGCAGCTCCCACACACAGGGACACAACCTCACCCCATGCTTCCGCCTCCTGACACTGGTCCCAGCTGCAGCTGGCCCATTCATCCCAGGACCCGCCCCCCGCCCCCCCGTAAGCCCATCTCCTGGCCATCGGCTGACTCAGGAGCAAACTGCAGCCAGCCAGCCAGCTCGTGACCCTGCCTGGCCGCAGCTATGGGGCTGGCCACTGGCTGATTAGCTCACTCATGCTAGGGTAAACTAAGCGCTTGGGCATACGGAAGGGTTTTCTCCTCAGCTAACAGAGGGTGGCCAAAACCACCAGGCAGCCACCCTTGGGACCACCCTGCCCAGTGGTGGACAGCCCAGAGGAGCCTGGGGCTGGAACGACACCCCTGAAGTGCCCAGTCGCCCCTCCCTGATTATCTGTAGTCAACAAGCCACTGGAGTCGGGGTTCTGGTGTGTGCCGCGTTGTGGGAGGCAATGCCCGCTTCCCTGTTACCTCCTCGAACTCCACCTTGCCCGGGGAGGTCACACAAGCAGTTAGGGAGGGGGACAGGACTCGAAGGAAACACAGCTCCAGCCTCCTTCATCTGAACATGATCCGCAAGAGCTGCTTGTCCGGACTTTTGCCCTTGAACGACCTCCGTCACATGTGCATCCCGTTCCACGACCCCAGCTCGACACAGGCCTCCCCACACGTGTGTATGTACGTCATGTGTGCGTGCCAGGCCCACGCAGGGACCCCGTGGGACACGCGTGCCCACGGAGGCTGTTTTCCACCCCTCTCCTTGCTTGCCTGCTGCTTCTGCTGTATGAACGGTGTGGGGTGTTTAATATGAAATTCTGTATTTCCTTCCTTTTGCCTAACATTCTGTGCCCCCAAAGAAGATCAGAGCAATATTTCCTGTCAAGTTGGCTCAAACAGACTCTAAACAGGTGAGCGGGGCCGACTTAAACAGGGATGCACTTGCCGTTCCAGCTTGAATAAAATCTGGAGGTCTGGCCTGGACTCATCTTGCCAGACTTTGGGCTTCGTTTTAAACACGCGTTTCATTTCAGGACAGTTTTACAGAATTACTGCAAAGATATGACATCCTGCACCCAGTTCTTCCCAGCTAAGCTCGAGGCTTAGCACAGGCATTTCTCACGGTCAGTGAGCTGGTATCGCCACATCACTGTGAGCCGGCGTGTCCACCCGCTCTCAGGCTTCTTCAGGTTTTCCCCAAATGTCCCTCTTCTCCTCTAGGACCCCACCCAGGGTCCCCACCCCATGTGATCTCCTTAGGGTCCTCTTGGCTGGACAGTTGCTCAGGTCATCTTGGCTCTGCACCACTGACAGCTTTAAGAGCATTTTGTAAAGTGCTCCTCATGGGGCTTGTCGGAGGATTTTCTTATGATTAGCCGCAGGTAACGTGTGGGGGAAGACCACCCAGACAACATCTGATCACAGGCAGGCAGAGCAACGTGGCTTACCAACGCGGCTGGGCCAGGACCGCAGGCAGCTCTTCCCCACTCAAGTTCCCCTCTTCTGCCTGTTCCACGCCGCACTCCTGGGGTAAAGCTCCAGCACAGCCACCCCCGCAGGCCACCCCCGCAGGCCACCCCCGCGCAGCGACAGTTGGCTTCCTGAAGCACGTGATAGCTACGTATGCTACTGGGAATTTTCCTGCCCAGATTTCTCCCTTCTTGCTATTTGTTTACTTAACCAGTTATTTTTATCAGTATGGATTCATGGATGTTTATTTTACTCTTTGGATCATCGTGCAGGACAACTTTATCTTGTTGCTCAATTGCTCCACCTTTGGCCACAGGGAGCTCTTTCAGTTGACTCCCCAGAACTCTTGACACAGAGAAAAACAAGCTGAGGTAGATTTTGCAACAACAGTCTCCAGTTTCTCCCTTTCCTGTTGGCTCAGCTCTTTGGATGCAACTTTGCAGCTCCTCTCATCAGATTCAGCCTCTTTCGTCATTCCTGGAGGCATGTGACTTGCTTTGGCCAATGGGAAAAGGCCCCAGGCTTGACAAGGGCTTCATGGGGCTCACCCCCAGGCCCCTGAGACCACCCAGTGAGCGCACACACACCCCCCCCAGCCTGCCTGGGGAGGAGAGGCCTGTGGCCCGGTGACCTCCCACCGCTGCTGCGCCCTGGGAGTGGGGTCACCAGCCAGGTGACCTCACACTTTTCCTGTAACCTGTAAAGTGTGCATTATGTCTAAAATATTTACATACTTTAATTAAATTCCTTATTGATAAAAACACTAGCCATCATGTGTGGGATCCTTTGGAAGAATGATGCCTGCAGGTCCACAGAGAGCAGGCGCCACAGTCTTCCGTGTGTACACAGAGTGCAGGACTGTGGAGCTCCATGAAGCAGGCTGCCTATGTCCCCGGAGCAGGGGCCACTAGGTCATCTCTGTGACTTGGAGATGCATGCTTGGTGCCAGGGGTCTTGGGCTGGTCTTGGCTCGTCACTCACGGAGCGCCTTGTCTGACAGCAGAGCATGTGTGCGGCAGGGTATCAGTTGCCTCCTGTGTCAGGCCAGTTCTGGCAACACCAGACCCAGCAGGTGACTCACCAGACCAGCCCCTGGATGGAGGGGCTGCTTTCCTCTTTGTCTGTTTAAGGCAACTGGGGGAGGCTGGGTAGAGCCCAGCGTGTCATCACTGTTTAAGGGTCCCTTCTCCCTTCATGTTGCGTCACCCTTACTGCACGGCTTCATAGCCAAGGTCACCTTTTTTCCCCCATTTTTGCACAGAAGAACTGGGGTATAGACCAGAGGTGCAATCCTGGCAGGTGGTGGAGGATTCACCAGAGACAGAGTGGGGAGCACAACAGGCAGATCGATAAAGTACACTGTTGAGGGGAGCAGCAAGCGAGACAGGTGAGGTCTGCCGCACCATGTAGGTCAGGTCCCTGGCCAGGGATCAAACTCAGGCCATAGTGGTGATGATAGCACTAAGACTTAACCCCTAGGCCGCGAGGAAGGCCCCAAGGTCATCTTGATCCAAGATGGCTACTGGGCCTCCAGCCATAATGTCTCGTCCCAAGTAGGAAGGAGAAGGAAGCGCAAGTTGGCTGACCTCCCACCTGCATCAGCACCCGCCAAGGATATGTCCCAGCATCCTCACCTACCAGCTTCTACTTGGCCGCCAGCAGCTGCAAGAGACAGAGTATGTCTTGTACCTGGGAACATTACCACAGGAGTACAATGAGGAATTAGTCGACAAAGTCAAAGGAGAGGAGGAAATCCTGCCCAGTGCTGATAGTCTTTCAGGCACTATCATAATTTCACTTTAGAGATAAGAAACTGATAAGAAACTGAGACTCGGAGAAGTCGAGTGACCTGCCAAGTCTAGGCCAAGGATTAGGGCTCAGGATTAGGCTCAGGAATCACGACCCCAGAGACCACGCCTACCCCCAGTGATGCTGCCATGGCATCCTATAACACCATTAAAGAAATTACGTGGGTGGAATTGCTGTGCTTAACCTGACCTGCCCCTGAAAGCGAGGATGCAGGACACCCGGCCACGCTCCTCCTGTGCCTCGCTGAGCTTCCGCTGGGCGCACCACATGCTCCACCCAATTCCATGGACGACTTGACTGTACGTCACCCATGGCGAAACTTCCCTCCTGCCCTCTCTTCCACGTCACATGGTGTTCCCGGAATTCAGTTTTACACATCAAGGTCATTCCTGCCCTTTTCTCATCACCCAGAGCTGGTTACAGTAGCGCGGAGGATCAGAAGGTCTGGCGTCAGCCTGAGTTCGAACCTTGGCTACATCTCTTCGCTGTTGATCTAGCTGCAAGTTCCTTTACCTCTCTGAGCTGCAACCCCCTGATCTGAGACATGGGGGTGGCATTAATACCTGTCACATGGGGTTGTTGTGAGAGTTACATGAGCAATACATGGCAAGTAGAAAGCACAGTGTCTGGCCACTAAATGTTACTCTTTGGCGCCAGTGTGATCCCAAGTCCAGATGTCACCTCACGTAAGATTCACCTGTGGTCACGCAAATGATTCATATGTTTGAATTACTTTCTTAAGTTTATCACCAAAATGAAAGCAAATAATTTCAAAGCACTTAGGGAGAACTTAATAACCACAAACATATCCCCAGATAACAACTTGAGAAACACTGACTTGGAGGAAACAGGCGTAGGCTTTTCAGACTCCATTTCTGCCGTGAGCTCGTGTGACCTAAGACATATATGTCCCGTCCCTCTAAGTCCAGCTGCTCAGTCCCCAAAGGGGTTGTTGATACTGTTGCTGGGGTCAAGTGTGACAAGTGGCTGGAAGGGATGTGTGATCTGTGAAGTGCTTGGGGACCGTGGTTCAACTGGGGTTATGACAAATGAGACAAGCTCCTGCTCCAGGGTCTGCTCCACAGGGCTGGGCAGCCCTCCAGGGTCCATCCTAACCCACCATGTGACTTTAAGGAAAGCTCCTCCTCTCTCTGGCCCTGGTCTCCCCATCTGCTCATTGAGGTCCAGCCCACTGGACCACACACAGAGAGGCAGAATGACTTGCCTGAGGTCACACAGCCAGGAAGTCATAAAGAGCCAGACTCTGGGTCCAGAGATCTTTCAGTGCAGAAGCACCCAGAGTAGCCTGCGGTCAGAGGGGGCCGCTCCTTCTCGGCCCACCTCTACCCGCAACAATGCTGTCCCTTCAATCACCACATTGACGAAGGGAATTCTGGTGGCTGACAGACACCAGAAAGTGACTAACCAAGTGTCCCTGTGGGGGACTTAGGGGAATTCTCAGGCTGAGGGAGAGCCAGCCCAGCATGAATACTCCTTGGGGGTCTCAGGGAGCTCGTGGCAAAGCCTCTGTCCTCTCAGGTGCTACTGGGGATGATGCTTCTACTCCCCTGTGTGTGCTCACCATTCAAGATTCAAATTCCCAAGGGAGGCTCTTTCCCACCCAGCCTGCAGTCAGGGGTCTGGGACCACTGGTCAGATGACAGCATGCATCACTGTGACATGGCCAGTGGGCATGGCAGTGACGGTCGCCCAGTCTGTGTCTGACACACATGACCGCCTCCAGACATCTGCACCAGCCATGCCAGCCCTTTAGAGAAAATCAGGACATGCCTTTAGAATTGGCAACAGAAACAAATGCATGCTTTATTTCCCAAAACCTCATGTGTGCTTTATAGGTACAGTCATTCTCAGGCCTGATTTTAGAGGGTTATGGGGTCTCAGGTGGGGGGTGGGGGGTGTGGGTGGAGAACTAGCTTTGCTATCCCAGAATGTATGCAGGCCCAGCCCAGCCCACAAACATTGGTCTCCAAGGAAACCAAACTTCCTTCCTCCTGTCCCAGGGAGGCGCTGCCCTATCACCCCTTCCAGCATGCATGACCCAGCTTTTACCCTCTGAATGATGACAGTGAGGAAGGCAATAAAAGGAGCTGACACTTTTGGAGACATGTGACAAGGGGTAAGGTATCTGACCTGCGTCTCTCACGTAATGGTAGGTATTGTTAACAGCTCCATTTTAGAGGTCAGAAAACTGGACTCAGAGCTTATGTGACCTATCCATGGTCACACAGCTAGTAAGCAGAGCCGGATTTTGAACCCTAAAATAATTGAGTGTTAGAGCTACAGGAACCCCAAAACACAACTAAGGCACATGATTATTTAGCAGGTGAGAAACTGCAGCTGATAAGAGGTTGGGGGCATGAATCTCTGCGCGTGTAGGGCTCCCTCATGAGCTTCGTGTACCCCAGTTCATTGACATCTGAGGGAAAATGGCCCTGGTCCTGTTCTGTAAATGTGGACACTCAACACCCAGCTGCCCAGGGTGGGGGCTGGGGGAGGCTGGTGAGTGGCAGAGCTGGGGCTCCAGCCAGGGTCCTACTGACCTAGCCTTGTACTTCATCTCTTTCCTGGGGTGGGGAAGGAGAGGGGGTGGCTCTCAGATTGGGCCTGGTCCCTGCGCCCTTAGGTCATGGAGGGCTCTCTGGTCACCTGGCTTGGCTCAGAGAGAAGCCTGCCTGAGCTTGCTGCCCTGAAGCTGAGGTGTTCAGTGGGTGGCCAG